CGTTGTTTTCATTCATTAACTCACTTATTCATTCCATTATCATATATCTGAGTCCCTATTACATCACTGGAAAATGGGCACAGTAATATTACCATTAACAAAAGGCTGTTTTGAGAAGTAAGATAATTTCTATAAAGCACACTGCCTAGCACATAGTAAGCCCTTATACACGATAATTATTATCATTAAGCAAGTAATTCCAAGTACTGCATACAAAGACAAAACAAAACAAAAAAAGGTCCATTTACAGCCCTATTTATGGGTGATGAGGGTAAGGTTGCATCTGAAGGGTGGGTTAATTCCTGGGGGAGACTTAGATCCCACAAATTAAAAACTGGAACAGAGCAGATGGACCATCTCAGGTAGACCAGAGAGGGAGCCCTGTTCTTTCAGGTTATAGTGCAACCTGTACGGATAGCTAGGAAGGCATTGCAGGGTCATGGATGTAAAACTGACACGAACCACTCAGAGATGGGCTGGGAATGAAGAGACAGAAAATAAACATATAATTCACACAAAAATGGCATGGAGCTTCTAAGTTTCGCAGATCAAGCCAGTTATGTAGAATCACAGCCTTATCCACAGACAGGCCAGCCTGTTTAAATGGTCTCTGTTCCCTGTGTTTCCTTCCCTGTTGCTCTTCCTTAGCACTGGACAAAGCTTTTTGTCGAATTCTCAGCTGTCCCACCTGTGCTAAGGACACATAAGGGACAGTGTGAAAAAGAAAGCCACCAACCTGGGACAGAGGCACAGAGCTGCAGCAGGAATTGCTCCGAGAGGAGCAAGCACAGGGAGACCCTCTTTCTGGGACTCGTTTGGGGTGAGATGAGTTGGATATTATTGGAAACTGCCATTTCCTATTGCAATTTCAGTCCTCTGTGTGTTCTAAACACTGGGTTTAAAATCCTTCCCGATCTAGACGTGAAACCCAGAAGGTGTAAAGAAAAATAAGGCCCTGGCCGGTTTGGCTCAGCGGTTAGAGCATCAGCCTGCAGTCTAGAGAGACCCAGGTTCGGTTCCCGCTAAGGGCACGTACCTCAGTTGCAGTTTGTCCTAGGTCCTGGTTGGGTCCTGCAGGAGGCAGCCACTCAATGTTTCCCTTTCGCGTCGATGTTTCTCTGTCTCTCTCTCTCCCTTCCTCTCTCTCCCTCTGACTCTAAATAAGTAAATAAATAAATAAGAAAAATATGGATGGGTTTGAATTCATAAAAGCTAAAAACGTTTGTGTGATCAAAGATACTGAAAACAAAACTAAATGACAGACAGACAGGAAGAAAAAAATTGCAAACTATAACACATATTTTAACATTAAATTATAACAAGGAGAAATGTTCATAATAAAAAAAGAGCTCCTGTAAATAAGAAAAAGGGAAATCCAATGAACAAAACATACACACAGATAATTTCAGAAGAAATAGAAACATAAAATGCTCATCTCCAGTAGTAATTAAGGGGATACAAATCAAAACAAGATGCCATTTTGTTTGCCCATCAAATTGGCACAAATTAAAGATTTATAATATTTAATATTGGCAAAGCTAAAGAGAAATTGGCAGTTTCTTCTACTGAGGGTGGGAATGTAAACTGGTGTAATCTTTTTAAAGATGGGTTGGCACTCTCTACAGCTGTTTAAAGTATGCCTCCCCTTTGATACAACAATTTCATGTTTAGGAGTTGATACTATTTAAATATGTCCACTGTGAAGGCAAAAATACAGGGATATCAACTGCAACAATGTTTGTGACAGTGAGAAAAGACTGATAATAACTAATATTTATTGAGGGCCAGTACTCATTTAAGCACTTTGTAACAAACACTATGAAGAAACTGAGATACACAAAGCTAGTGTTTGGTGGTGGCAGGATTCTAACCCAGACACTTTGTCTCCAGCGTCTGTTCTTAACTACTATGCTGTCTAATAGAGAGTAAATGAAAGCATGCTACATCCGTACTATGGAATATTGTACAGCAGTTAAAAAGAATCAGGTAGATCTCTGTTTACAGACATGGAGACATCTCTAAGACATACTATTAATCAAGGGAGAAAAGTCAAGTTGCAAAACTATGATATGGTATAATGCTATATATATGGGGGAAAGATACTACATGTGTGTATATACAACTACATATGTATGAGGATGAATAAAGGTCTTAAACAATAAGAGAATGTATGTGTGTGGAGATATGGGAGAGCACTTTTTCAAGGTATGTTCTATATATTGCTGGTTTGTTTGAACTTTTACAAGAATGCATTTGTGCATTAGTTTGGTAAAACAAGAATTGTCCTACTAACTAAGAATGAAATAAAATAAAAAAAAAGGTTTAACTCATTTCAAGAGATTAGTTTTTTTCCATACAGACAATGGTGAGGTCTTGGACAAAAATCTTCTCTACTGTGGCTTTTACTAGCCTATGTAAATTACCGTAGTAGAAGGTAATTTATTACCTATTAGCTGTATCTTGTTGATCACTACTTTTTTCTTTTTACATAAAATTTTCATGTACAGTATTTGGGTCCATGGCTTCCTGTTAGGCCACCAAGTTCCATAAACATATACAGGCAGTCACTGAAAACATTAGTTTGGAACCTGAGAACCACATGGTGTTCCTCTTGCTTTGCATATTATATTGGCATTAGGAAAAGGGATCTGTAATCATGGATTATTTCATTATTTTGCCCCAATGCATACGCAGGAGTATAGGCTCGCCCTATCTGCTTGGTGTGGTCTGTGGAGGTATGAATGAGACATACAGGCCCAAAGGACTTGCCTTTTAACCAGAAGTCAGGGGAAAAGCTGTATTGGATCCTGCAGGGCCTCCTCCTGCCTAAATCCAAGTGAGAGTGGTTTTAACACAAAACCAAGGATGAGGATCAGAGAACACTTACTGATTAAAATGTTACTTTTACAAGGTCAGGGCTTTAGAACTAAGTTGCCAAATGTGGGCTTATCTCTGACATGCCTGGTGAGAATGGTTCTTAAGACTCATTACTTAATGGGTATCAGATTGTGGCTTTTTTGGAGTGGCCCATGTAACTTAGTACAGTTTTTCAATTATTGAAGTTTTAACATTCTCTTAAGCATCTTTACAGAAAGAAAAAAAAAATCCCACTTAAAAACAACTGTATTCCCCTTCCGTTCTTACAGCTGCTCATTTTACGTAGTTTTAAATAGTGTGTACAAACTATTTTGGATTTGTTGTTTCATTTAACCTTATTTCCGATACATCTTTCCATGGGCTTGCCAAAATTTCATGTGCTTGACATGCACCCTGCATATGTGCCAGGATTATTTCTGTTAATGTGACAGAGCTTGTTTGGATTCTTCCCCAATGGCTGGACAATTGGGTCCATTCCCAGGTTTTGGCCATTATGAACATTCTGAATAGCCCTGCTATAAACATCTTTATACAAGTTCGCCCCCCTCCTTTCCCCCTTTGGATCATTTCCTTGGAAATGTACTTCCTTAAATGGGTTTACTGGGTCAAAGGGGTTCAATGAACAGTTTTATAGCTCTTGGCACATATTTTTCAGATTGCGCCCTGGGTGGATCTGGCCAATGGCACGGGCCAGGAATGCGGAGGAGCGGCCCCTATAACCACCCCTCTTCCGCCCCCCAAAAGTCGAGAAGCTTGCGAAGGCCTGCAGATGGAAAGCATTTTTCTATTGCCCTCTTTCTGGTCTTGTGATGAGGGTTTCAGCCCAGGCTCGGAGAGGACTGTCAGGCAGGCGCAGAAACGTTTCCGTGCTTCCAGGACTTGTGCCCTGGGGCCAGAAGGAACCCTGCCAGGCCCTCCTGCCCCAGGACCAGGATTCCGACGCCGGTCCTCTTCCAGTGCCCGACTCCCCCTGCACACTGGCCCGGCCTCCCCAGCGAGGTCCTCGTGGCCCAGGCAGGCCCCTTGCAGCCAGAGCTCTGCAGGCAAGGGCAGCCTGGCAGTCGCTATTCTCTTGGCGCGGGTGATGCAAGACCCGCATAGCTGCGCGCTGAGTCAGCCGGGCCGGGCGAGGGTGAGGGGCGCGGACCCGTCCAGCCCCCCGACACCAGCCCCCCGCCCGCCGGGGCGCAGCGGCCTCGGGCCGGGCCGCGGGGGGTGGGCAGGCCGCCTCCGAGTCGGCGGGCCGTCCGCCGGGCCGGGTCTGGAGGTCCGAGCCCCGGGCGCGCTCTCCCTGCCCCCTCGAGGAGCTCGGCGGGTCGGCTCAGGCGGTGGCCGCTCGCCGGGCGGTTTACCCTCTGAAAACGCAGAGGGGAGGAGGCCGCGGGGAAGGAGGGAGCCTCACAATGGAGAAAGGCTCAGCGGAGCAGATCCGAGGAAACGGAAAAAAGGAGGAAAAGGGCTGAGGGGCGGCAGAGGCCGGAGGGCGGGGGCCGAGGCGAGGCGCGCGGGGGCGCGCGCGGGGCGGGGCGGGGCGAGCGGGCGCGCGCGGGGCGGGGCGGGGCGAGCGGGCGCGCGCGGGGCGGGGCGGGGCGAGCGGGCGCGCGCGCCGGCGGCCGCGAGCCGAGAGGCTTGTGGGTAGCGGCTGCGCGCGGCCGGAGACGGGCGCCGCGCGGGAGTGTGTGAGGGCTGCGGGCTTGTGGGACGAGTCGGCCGGCAGCGATCATGGGGACGGGCTGGCGGCGGCCGTAGCTGTCTAAGCCTGGGCTTCAGCCTCCCGGAGCCCCAGAGGGCGGCGCGTTGCGGGCCCGGCGGCGGCGCTTGCCCGTTCCCGCTCTCGGAGTCCTGGGGGAGCGAGCCGCGGCGGACGAGCGGACCGGCGGCGCGAATCTGACTGAGGGGCGGGGACGCCGCCGTCTGCTCCTCGCCGCTCGGGCCGGGCGGGCCGGCCCCCTGGACAGCCCCAGGCCCGGGACCGGCGCTGAGACCCGCAGCCGGAGCTAGAGGCGGCGGTGGGCCCGGGCGGAGCCCCGCCCGGAGCCGGCGGTTCGGGGGCGGCGCTAGGCCCCGAGGCGGCCGGGCCGGAGCGCGGGCAGCGGGAGTGCGGGCCCGGCGGCGGCGGCGGCATGAGCCGGCCCCCGCCGACGGGGAAAATGCCCGGCGCCCCCGAGGACGTGCCGGGGGACGGGGCGGGCGCGAGCCGCCAGAGGAAGCTGGAGGCGCTGATCCGAGACCCTCGTTCGCCCATCAACGTGGAGAGCTTGCTGGTAGGTGGCCGGGGCCCGGGCGCCCTCCCGGCGCTAGCTCAGCCCTCCAGCCTCCCCTCTGCCCACCCCTCTGCGCCCACCCACCCGTGGGCGAGGTCTCGCCCCACCTCGCCCCGCTTCCGGCAGCCGGGGCCCGGGGTCGACGACCGAACGCGCCCGCGGCTGAGTTCCAGGAGCGGAGCCCACCCAGGATTCTTCCCGGGACCCCTGGCGCTGGTGTCAGACCGCCTGCCTCTTTCTCGGGGCGCGGGGAGGAAACCCCTCTTCGCCTTCCCGCCCACCCTCTCGGTTTGGGGAGCTGGGCCGAGGCTTTGCTGCTCCCTCCCTGCCCCCGACTCGCCCCTTTGGAAGTGTCATGCTGCGCGGGGACTTGGGTCCCGTCAGGGGGGAACCTGCTGCTGTCCCTGGTGGGAGTCCCTGCCCACCGGGGGTGCGTGACAAAGGGCCGCCCTCACCCTCTCCCTCTCCACGAAGTCTGAAATACTGAAACACGCAGCTCGAGTTTGCCTGTTTTCGGTTGTCTTTGAACACTCATGGTTGCAATTTAGTGCTTTTTAGTGTCTGTAAATTAAATGCCCGGAGCGTGTTGCAGCAGAGCTCAAGAATCAGTCTGGATTGTCGAGTGGAGGGAGTCCTGGGCATTGCACCTCTTTCCTAGACCGTCCTTAAAAACCAAATCAGCGGTAGCCAGGTGAAGTCTGCTACCTGGCTCTCGATTAAGAAAGGACCCACGTTTTACAAATTAGAGGTGCGCTGTGGGATGCTTGCATGTGTCTGATTTTTGTTAGGACAGACGATTGTATTTCACAGACAGTTTGATCAGCGTGCAGGAGGGATGCATTTATGGGAAAAGGGGGTGTGGATGTTTGCCCTGGGGAGGAGAAGACATCGAAGAAGATGCTCTGCAGATTAAATGAACTCTGGACTAGAATCCCGGTGGATGATCCTTGGATTTTTTTAGATATTCTCTACCCGAACTCATGTTCAGTTCTCCTCCTGCTGGGAGAAACCTAGTGACTGTGTGATGAGAAAAACTGTCTCCTCCCTTTCCAGTGACTGACTTTTTTTCAGAAGCAGTTGCTTATCCTTTGAGGTTTCTGGAATCATTTGCAGGGTGACTCAGTGCTGTTTGGCCAAAGTGCAGGAACAACCAAAGGGTGCACATTCATCGTGCAGAATGGAGTGGTGTACTGTGTTCTGTCAGATGTGTTTGATGCCTTCTTTCACTGATTTTCACGAATGTGTTGTTGGTGTGTTTTCATGGGACAAGGACACCCTGGACAGTCTGTAGACATCTTCAGTTGGGGGTAGGATTGGTTACGTGAAGGGCATAGCTTTTCCTGGGCCAGAGCAGAGACTCTGGGCTTCACTCCCGGCATTTCCACTGTGGTATTTTGCTAGCAAAACTTTGACCTAAGGCCAGAAAGTTCAGTTAAAAATAGTACAGCAGATCTCAAGTATTCACCAGGTTCAATCCCAGATTGAAATTTTTTATGCTTTCATCTCTTGGGCCTTTCATGATGTTAATCATAATTATTAGGGTTATTCTGAGCTTGAACCTAAACCATTTGTACATGTAATATACATTCTATTAAAGTGTTTTCTAAATTGTTAAAATGAAGGCTTTTTAAAGAAATGAAACATTACACATGCTCAGTAAACAATTCGGTCCATTCATTTGTTGACCAATAATCAATATATACAGCCAACACACTTTATACTTTTGTTAAGGTGACATACTACTGGTATGAGAATTGACATCAACTTTGTCATTGCTGTTTTTCGTTGTTTAAATACAGGGTGGGGCAAAAGCAGGTTTAGAGTTGTATGAAAAATATCGCAATAATTAATAAGGTATAATATAAGAATAAACTTATGTACTCAACTGTAAACTTACTTTTGACCCAGCCTGCATATAGTCTCTTTACGTAGAGATAGCCACTATTTAAGTTATCATTTTGGTATAAATATATATCTGAAAAAATTAAAATATAAAAGAAGTAAAGTTACTCTGCACATATGCTTTGTCTTTTTTTAATACTTAATGAATAGTAGAAACTTTTATGTAGTCAAATTTATCAGTCTTTTCATTGTAGAGTGATTTCTGGCTTAGATTTCATGCTTAGGACATTCTCCATGACCAAGATTATGATGTCATATACCTTAATTTTCTTTTAGTGCTATAATGGTTTTACTTATTTATAAATAAATGTGTTTTATTGATTTTAGAGAGAGGGAGAAAGAGAAACATCAATTGGCTGCTTCCTGCACGCCCTCTACTGGGGACTGAGCCGGAAACCCAGGCATGTGCCCTCAGCAGGAATCAAACCTGCCAACTCCTGGTGCATGGGACTACACTCCAACCAACTGAGCCACACCAGCCAGGGCTGGTTTTATTTTTTAATGTTATTTTTATTCCACTTGGAATTCTGGTGGAAAGTATGAAATAGGTGTACAAAAATTTTATCAGAAAATTTGACTAAGTATTAGAGTTCCCAAAACATTAGTTGAGAGCCTCTGTTTATAGCTCTGTGTTCTTGTCATAAAGCTTTATATTTGGAGAGTGGTGCTTGGGGAGAGAGAGGGAGAGCAATGACTATGGGTTTGGTCTCCTTTTGGGCCTCTTGAATTTCTTCATGGAAATAGTACTCTACAACTATACTTAAAATCCTATTCTGTGCTGACATTAAAAAATATAGATGAGCCCAGCTGGTGTGGCTCACTGGTTGAGCGTCGAACCATGCACCAAGAGGTCACCGATTGGAATTTTGGTCAGGGCACATGCTCAGGTTGTGGGCCCAGTCCCCAGTGAGGGGCATGCAAGAGGTGGCCAGTCAGTGTTCTCTCTCATAGATGTTTCTCTCTCTCTCTCCCTCTCCCTTCCTCTCTCTCTGAAATTGATAATGATATAGCGCGCGCTCAGTTGTCTGAGTCAGTTATACACCCCTGTATTACAATTAAAATTAAAATTACTGTACGTATGGCCCCGGCCGGTTTGGCTCAGCGATTAGAGCATTGGCCTGAGGTCCAGAGAGACCCGGGTTTGGTTTCCGCCAAGGGCGCGTACCTCAGTTGCAGTTTGTCCCCAGCCCTGGTTGGTCGTGTGGGTGGCAGCCTCTCGATGTGTCCCTTTCATGTCGATGTTTCTCTCTCTCTCTCTTCCTCTCTCTCCCTCCCACTCTATCTGAACAAAAAATGGAAAAATGTCCTCAGGTGAGGATAAAAAAAATAATAATAAAAAAATAAATAAAATTACTGTATGTGTGGACTGTAGGCCTGTGTATTCGAGCACTCCAGGAATCCTTTAACGCCAGGTGCAACCGCTAGAGTCTGGAATGGATTAACTGTGATAAACAAGGGATGAGTGTACTAAGATTTGATTTTGGTTCATCATTGATAATCTTTTAGGGAATGTTTCTAAGTCCAAGAATGATTATATTGTTTGTTGATTCATTTTGGTAAGACATGGGTTGTTTGTTCAGATATCAAAAGGCTTTACATTTTTGTTGTTGTTGCTGCTATAGGTAATTGATCACTTAGTATCCAATGTCTAATTTTCTTTATTTTTTAAAAGAGATTATAAACTTATAATTAATTTCTAACAATTCATTATTGGGGTTATTTTTTATGCCATACAAATTAATAGCAGAGCCTCCTCCAGCAATGCTGAAAACAGAAAGCAGGGTTGGCTATATCTTAATTACATAGTTAGGAATGTTTAATATATTAAGTGTTGTCTTGTTATATACATACTTGTTGGTTTTTTAGTTTATTTAATGGCCTGAATACAGGCTCTTTTAGGAGATGGATCTTTTTTGTCTTCCTATTATTGTGTCCTGTACATATTTGTTGCATGAATTAATAATTCTTTTTTAAGTAACAAGAGTTACCTGTAGAAATATATCCCTGCTTGAAGAGATATTAAAATACTTCTCAGATAAACATTTTGGTTTATGTTCACTTATTTCTTATCTATCTAAGGGAAGGCAGATAAGTAAACATCTGTACATGCAGAGAGGATAGGTTTGGGTGATAGAATTAATTGGAGGTCAAGCAGGAAAAATTCATTGTGATTTGGATATTTTCTGGATTGTGCTGAAACAGTTTGTCTTGGAAAGGATTTAAGCTAATTTTATTTAGTGTTTTAGGTGAAGTAAAGATACTTTGTGTGGTAGGCTGAACAGCCTTTATCATTTATTATGTGTCTTCTGTTCCCCTTACCCCTTAACTTTTCTTCTGGTGAAACATATCCAGTTCCTTCTTATATACCTAGGTGATGTCTGTGTTGAAACTACACTTCATGAATAAGGGCAGATGAAATGCTGTTGGTGTGTTCACAGGGTGAAATTATTTAAAATGGCATATTGGCTGTAATAATAATGCAATATTTGTTAACAAAAGTAAAACCAAAACTAAAGGACATGAGAGATTTTGATCAGAAATCAAAAGTGTTATTCACGTCACAATGAATGACTTTTGAAAATTTATCAGATATTATCAAGCATTCTGACTACTAGCAGTATTTTTTATTTTTTTTTTGGTTTTAATCCTCACCCAAGGATATGTTTTTATTGATTTGAGAGAGAGAGAGACAGAAAGAAAGAGAGAAATATCAGTGTGAGAGAGGAACATTGATTGGTTACTTCGGGTACACACTCCAACTGAGGATGGAACCTGCAACCTGGGTATGTGCCCTGACTGGGAATTGAACCTGCAACCTTTCAGTTTGTGGTACAATGCTCCAACCAACTGAGCCACGGTTGCCAGGGCATTTGCAATTTAATTTAGCTTTAAAGGATTGGGCAAAAGTAGGTTTTTATGGGACATAAAAGTGAAGGAAATTTTAGGAGATAATTCCTTTAAAATTTAAGATACCTAAATATATTAAAGAAGAATTAAAAACTTTTTTGGTTGTCGTGATAAATTTTCTAAAAGGAAAGTGTATTACACAGTTGTCATGAAATTTGAGGCCTACAGAATTTAGTGAAATGTGTTTTTGT